AGGTCAAAGAGAAACCTACTCTCTAAGAATCAATTAGGGATCGTAGAAACGTTTATAATATGATCGTAGCCAACTTGAAAAGAAACTTAATAAAAACAACTTTCTTCCTAAAGGATAGATATTGGAGACATTGGAGGATTAAATTAAATACCCAGAAGATATAAGTAGCAGGTTTCAACAAAAAACAACGAAGAAAAACTTCCTGAATATCCCAAAGCAGATAAGAATGAAGATAAAAAAGAACGACAAACAAGCTTTTACTGCGCCCTAAGAGGACACTCGCTTATACTCCATACTACACCAGGAACGCAAATAGATAAAAATAATAGTTAAGAAAACGTTATGTGATATACCTACTAGAAGTAAGTCCAATTTGATAAAAAGAATTTGAAGGAAGATTCAGATATGGAAAGCATGAAATCCTCTTGTTTGATTGCGGATACTCTCGCTACCAACTTGCACAACTTTTTTGCAAGGTTGGGTTAGTCGATATTTACGTTCAATTCGAACTCAACATTAAACAACACTCCTCACAAAATCTCTATTTACAGCGTTTTTAATTATATACAATGCTATGAGGGTTGTCCGGTTCCAACGGTACTTTACTTCGGATGCGTATATGTACTGCATTATGTATATTGTCATTGTCTTAGGTTCAGTACAATATGTCACACAATGTCAGTTCCGGTCGAAACATTCGCAAAAAACTATAATAAGTCATATGACGGAAACGAAGAGAAAGGCAAAACCGTACACCTCAAATCAGAGGAAGCATAATTGAAAAGTTATTGTCCATCTGCCTTATTTTCCAGGCCTGGCACATTCTGATTTTTATTTGTTTCTGAGTTAATTTGTGGCGATTATGTTAAAAAATAGCTAACAATTCACGCTTTTACTTAGCGTATACTTGATTTGTATAAATAAAGTAATCTCTCTGTAATTCACAAATGTATCTTAGTGATCGGATATCCCTCGCATATTACTGTAAAATTATCTAAACGATAAAAAATTTTGGAGTGAGTTCATAGAACTGTATCGAGAGTTGCCGGTTGTGGGATATTAAACAAAAAAAGATCTTCAAAACACTCATGCTCACTCATTCGTATATAATGTCTATAATTGGAGCTAGTTGAGACAATAAACACATCTGGCTGAAAATCGTGGAGATTTCCTTTTACTCTTTTTAATTAAACAAAAAACACCATCGAATAGAGCTAAAGGCAATTTAAGATTGTACAATTTGTTCTAAAAGTTTTTCTGTATCATGCTCTGAATAACGCTTTTTCCATTAACAACTTGTGATACTGCGAATTCTTCTAATTTTCATATTTTTCTTGACATTGATGCATTTGAGAGCAAAAGTGATAAAGAGCAATTTGTTATGGGTAAACTTTGCTACAACTTTTGTTCTAAAAGTTTTTCTATATCATGCTCGGAATATCGATTCTTTCCATTAACAAGTTGTGAAACTGCGAATTCTTGTAATTTTCATATTTTCGAATTTTTTCAGACATTGATTCATTTGAGAGCAAAAGTGATATAGCGCAATGTGTTAGGGGTAAAATTTGCTACAACTTTTATTCTAAAAGTTTTTCTGTATCATGTTCGGAATACCGATTTTTTTCCATTAACAACTTGTGATACTGCGAATTCTTCTAATTTTCATATTTTCAAGCTTTTCTTGACTTTGTAGCATTTGAGAGCAAAAGTGATATAGAGCAATGTGTTATGGGTAAAATTTGCTACAACTTTTGTTCTGAAAGTTTTTCTATATCATGCTCGGAATATCGATTCTTTCCATTAACAACTTGTGAAACTGCGAATTCTTGTAATTTTCATATTTTTCTCGACATTGATTCATTTGAGAGCAAAAGTGATACAGACTAATGTGTTAAGGGTAAAATTTGCCACTACTTTTGTTCTAAAAGCTTTTCTGTATCATGTTCGGAATACCGATTGTTTCCATTAACAACTTGTGAAACTGCGAATTCTTCTAATTTTCATATTTTTCTCGACATTGATTCATTTGAGAGCAAAAGTGATAGAGACTAATGTGTTAAGGGTAAAATTTGCCACAACTTTTGTTCTAAAAGCTTTCTGTATCATGTTCGGAATACCGATTTTTTCCACTAACAACTTGTGAAACAGCGAATTCTTGTAATTTTCATATTTTTCTCGACATTGATTCATTTGAGAGCAAAAGTGATACAGACTAATGTGTTATGGGTAAAATTTGCTACAACTTTTGTTCTAAAAGTTTTTTTATATCATGCTCGGAATATCGATTCTTTCCATTAACAACTTGTGAAACTGCGAATTCTTGTAATTTTCATATTTTTCTCGACATTGATTCATTTGAGAGCAAAAGTGATAGAGACTAATGTGTTAAGGGTAAAATTTGCCACAACTTTTGTTCTAAAAGTTTTTCTGTATCATGTTCGGAATACCAATTTTTTCCATTAACAACTTGTGAAACTGCGAATTCTTATAATTTTCATATTTTTCTCTCGATTTTTCTCGACATTGATTCATTTGAGAGCAAAAGTGATAGAGACTAATGTGTTAAGGGTAAAATTTGCTACAACTTTTATTCTAAAAGTTTTTCTGTATCATGTTCGGAATATCGATTTTTTCCATTAAAAACTTGTGATACTGCGAATTCTTTTAATTTTCATGTTTTCGAGCTTTTCTTGACATTGTAGCATTTGAGAGCAAAAGTGATATTGAACAATGTGTTAAGGGTAAAATTTGCTACAACTTTTGTTCTAAAAGTCTTTCTGTATCATGTTCGGAATACCGATTTTTTCCATTAACAACTTGTGAAACTGCGAATTCTTCTAATTTTCATATTTTCGAGCTTTTCTTGACATTGTAGCATTTGAGAGCAAAAGTGATATAGAGCAATGTGTTAAGGGTAAAATTTACTACAGCTTCTGTTCTAAAGGATTTTCTGTATCATGCTCGGAATACCGATTCTTTCCATTAACAATTTGTGAAACTGCGAATTCTTGTAATTTTCATATTTTCGAATTTTTCTCGACATTGATTCATTTGAGAGCAAAAGTGATATAGAGCAATGTGTTAAGAGTAAAATTTGCCACAACTTTTGTTCTAAAAGTTTTTCTGTATCATGCTCGGAATAGCCAATTTATTCTATTAACAACTTGTGAAACTGCGACTTCTTCTAATTTTCATATTTTTGAATTTTTCTCGACAGTGATGGATTTGAGAGCAAATGCGATATGGAGCAATGTGTTAAGGGTAACATTTACTTCAACTTTTGTTCTAAAAGTTTTTCTGTATCATGCTCGGAATACCGCTTTTACCCATTAACAATTTGTGAAACTGCGAATTCTTCTAATTTTCATGTTTTCGAGTTTTTTGTGGCATTTGAGAACAAAAGTGATAGGGAGTAATGTGTTAAGGGTAAAATTTGCTACAACTTTTGTTCTAAAAGTTTTTCTGTATCATACTCGGAATTCCGATTTTTCCATTAACAAGAATAGCGTTCGTTGTGGGATATTAAAGAAAAAGAGATCTTCAAAACACTCATGCTTACTCATTGGTATATAGTGTCTATAATTGAAGCTAGTTGACACAATAAGCACATGTGGCTGAAAGTATTTCGTTCAAACAGTCACTTCTTGGCCCAAACTCGCGCAGATTTCCTTTTATTCTTTTTAATTAAACAAAAAACACCATCGAATAAAGCTAGAGACAATTAGAGATTGCACCAACAAGATGGATGTGAAGTTCGATAATGTATGCCAGTTACAGGTTGGCCAACATATTCGACAGCGGGACTTAAGACGAAGAATCTGCTTACAATACCGGAAATTGAGGTGTATAAAAGCTGTAATTAAATAAGATGATACTACCTTGTCCATGATGGTCCAAGGTTTGGATATAGATTCCTTACCCCAAATTTGTTAGCTCAAGAGACTCATAAACATGATATAGAAAGGTTATAAAAAAAATTCGGCTACCCATTTTTGTGGAGAACTGTCTTTGACGCACACATTTTTATTTACAAAAAGTGACGCCAAAGATTTCAAACACGATCCTTTCAACGAAATAAATACGTTTTGGCTCACAACTCAAATAAAAATTAGAAAAATGTTGTTTTTCTGTGAAAAAATCAAAATAAAAATCATGATTTATGAACGAAAAAAAAAAATTCAAGTAATTTAAAACTTTTTCAAACAACTCCAAGAAATTTCAAAGGATGAATTTAGAAATCGAACCATCCAAAGATTTTTTTTCTTTTATTTGAGGCCAAAGACTGCCTGCTGGCTCTCAGCTGAGAATAAAGAAACTTGTATTCGTCCCGTTTCGCTCTAAACAATCTTCCTTCTTCGTTCAAACCGTCATCGATCCAAATCATAGTTGAGAACAAAGAAAAATGTGTCTAAAAAGTAATTTTAACTATTAATTTTATGCACGTTTGATGAGTATAAATCAAATTATTTATTTAACCGAAAAAAATCACCCAATTCCTTACTGGAATACTAACTATATTACTGGAATAAAAAAAAGTTTGGCAATCAGCTGATGCCTCAATTAATCTAAATTCATTTCATCGCTTATTTGAAACTAAATAAATTAAATTTTTTTTTCTTACCTGTTTTTCTTATGGGAAAGTCTGGAATTCTTAGACCCAGACCAACACACTTTCCAGATGTCCAAAACACGCGATACTTGTTGCCCGGTCTTCGACACACTGAACACTGAGCTCCTCTCATATTTTCAACCCTATTTTCCTGGTGAATCCATCGTCCCTGCGCACTAACCCTATTCAAAACGTTCAAATCACCTGGATGAACCATTTTTTTCAAAAACTTTCCAAATATTTTTACTTGGATTAATCATTTTTATCTCAACACTCATTTTAACTTTTAATCAGCTGACAAGCGAAACCGAAATGTCCAAAATAAATAAAAATTAAGGTTATGTTATCCAAGATACATAACCTTCATGATTTATCGATGACATAACCTATACAAAATTACAAAAATGAATATATTAAAAAAAAATTTTATAAAAACAAATTTATTTAATATTTTTCATAAAAAAAACGTGTTTATAAGAAACGGTGGATTAATTTTGGGCGGACTTTTAACTTTTCATACGGTAAAAGAAGATCCTTATGTCACTTATATAGGGGCCGGAGTGAGATTTTTAAGATCGCTAATAACGGGAATGGAAATATCCTTTGATTATTATATATCCATGGTGGGGTTAAACGAGGAATCTCCCAATTACAAACCAATGATGAGTCGTATTCATTCGAGGGCTGCCAAAAGGATTTTAGATGCTTGTCTTGTAAACGGAGGAACTTACATTAAATTAGGACAAGGTTTAGTGTCTTTAAGCCACATCTTACCTGAAGAATACATCAGTATTTTAACTCAACTTCAAGACCGATGTTTAGAGAGGGGAGCTGACGAAATGATTGAGTTATTTGTTGAAGATTTTGGGAAAGAACCACAAGAATTGTTCATGAAAGTAGATATGGTGCCTATCGCAGCTGCTAGTTTGGCGCAGGTTTTTTATGGTATAACGGTAGATGGGAAAGAAGTAGCTATAAAAGTTCAATATAATGATTTACAAAAGAGATTTGTTTCTGACATAGCTACAATAGACTTTTTATTAAAGATAATTGGGTTTATGCATCCCACATTTAATTTTGGTTGGGTCCTTGATGATTTAAGAGAAAGTCTTAGGTATGAATTAGACTTTATTAATGAAGGTAAAAACGCAGAACGATGTGCTAAAGACTTAGAGACATTTAATTACATTTATGTACCAAAAGTACATTGGGATTTAACAAGAAAAGTAAGTTTATTTTTGTGTACAATTTATTTATTAATAATTTAACTCATTAAGAGAGTTTTAGTTACTGAGTTTGTCCATGGTTACAAAATAAATGATATTGATTCCCTTAAAAGCCAAAACATTTCATTAAAAGACATTGATGCTAAACTTCTAGAAGCATTTGGTCATCAAATTTTCCAAGTAGGGTTTGTCCATGCAGATCCCCACCCTGGAAATGGTAAGACTTTTTTATAATCACAATAAATAGCATTAAAATTTATCAAGTACACGAAAGTGTTAATTAGAAAAGTGAATGGAAAGCCACAAATCGTTTTATTGGATCACGGATTGTATGAAAATTTAGATGAATCAACTCGAACGTCTTTAAGTTACATGTGGAAGGCGATCGTTTTCAGAAATATTGGGCAGATGAAAAAATACGCTTCAGAATTACAAGTTGAGGATCCAGAAACTCTTGCTGAAATCCTCACGCAGAGACCGTTTAGGGGATTTTCGATGGGAATGAAAATGAGTTCTGCTGAAATGGATTATATGACGAAAAAGGCACAGCTGCGGTTTGATAAGATTATGAAAGTTTTGAGAGATATGCCAAGACCTTTATTATTGGTTGTCAGGTAAAATATATTTAAATTCAAGGATAAATTTAAACTTCTTTTTAATATAGAAATTTAAATACAATAAGAAGTATTGTTCATGATCATGGAGAACTTGTAGACCGGTACGCGATTTTGGCACGATGTGCGACAAAAACAAGTTTTCGACGTACTGGAGTTTTGACGAAATATTTTATTGTGCCTTTAAAGATGTGGCTGGAATTTAAAATATTGTAAGTATTCTTTTTAATAATTGTACACATTAGATTTATATTGTAGTGTGTTAATTAATTATTATCGTTCCCGACGTCATCATTGCAAGTATGCAACCAATATCACAGGGCAATACGCATCATACGTAAATCGCGTATTGCAATACCAATACTGTGATATTGGTTGCATACTTGCAATGATGACGTCGGGTACGATAATTAATTAACACACTGTATGTGTACTTAAGGAATAAGGTGAGAGTGTTGTAACAATTATTGCTCATTAGATGCATATATTATTATTAAAATCAATTAGATCTTAAAGTTAAATAATTCATTTAATAAATTTGATAATGTATGAAGAAGAAAATGTAAACGCTTCATGAGCAATATTTGTTTTATTCCCTAAGTTAATGTACAGCCATGTCAAACTCAAAGTCACTGGTGGACCAAAATCATGAACGTGGGCCGCAAAACCTAATCTTAACCCTTTGTGTCCCGACGGTACTTTAAAGTACTGGTAGTTTTAAACACTCATTTTAAACTGTAGTCATCTATTCGGCTCATTTATATTATTATCCGCACTGTAGGGTTTTTAGGTATATTTTAACTTATTCGTCCAGATGTGAGCGTTTTTGAATTTTGTTGTTCAAAAAGGTACCTTTTTGATAAATGGTTATTAGGTGTGATTATTACAGATCATTTTAAAAAGAAAGCATTGAGCTTTAATTTAAAATAAGTCTCATTCTTTAATTTCAATAATTACGGCTTCCAGGAATTTTTAAATTAGCATCTTTTTTGACACTTTTAGGTTATACGAAAATGTAAGGTTTGTTTCAACATTTTTTTTCTCAATATTTTTCCAATCCAACCCAACAATTATTATACATCATTTTAAAGAGAAAGCTTTGAGCTTTAATTTAAAATAAGTTTCATTCCTTAATTTCAATAAATACGGCTTCCAGGAATTTTTAAATTAGCATCTTTTTTGACACTTTTAGGTTATACGAAAATGTAAGTTTTGTTTCAACATTTTTTTTCTCAATATTTTTCCAATCCAACCCAACAATTATTATACATCATTTTAAAGAGAAAGCTTTGAGCTTTAATTTAGAATAAGTCTCATTCCTTAATTTCAATAAATACGGCTTCCAGGAATTTTTAAATTAGCATCTTTTTTGACACTTTTAGGTTATACGAAAATGTAAGTTTTGTTTCAACATTTTTTTTCTCAATATTTTTCCAATCCAACCCAACAATTATTATACATCATTTTAAAGAGAAAGCTTTGAGCTTTAATTTAGAATAAGTCTCATTCCTTAATTTCAATAAATACGGCTTCCAGGAATTTTTAAATTAGCATCTTTTTTGACACTTTTAGGTTATACGAAAATGTAAGTTTTGTTTCAACATTTTTTTTCTCAATATTTTTCCAATCCAACCCAACAATTATTATACATCATTTTAAAGAGAAAGCTTTGAGCTTTAATTTAGAATAAGTCTCATTCCTTAATTTCAATAAATACGGCTTCCAGGAATTTTTAAATTAGCATCTTTTTTGACACTTTTAGGTTATACGAAAATGTAAGTTTTGTTTCAACATTTTTTTTCTCAATATTTTTCCAATCCAACCCAACAATTATTATACATCATTTTAAAGAGAAAGCTTTGAGCTTTAATTTAGAATAAGTCTCATTCCTTAATTTCAATAAATACGGCTTCCAGGAATTTTTAAATTAGCATCTTTTTTGACACTTTTAGGTTATACGAAAATGTAAGTTTTGTTTCAACATTTTTTTTCTCAATATTTTTCCAATCCAACCCAACAATTATTATACATCATTTTAAAGAGAAAGCTTTGAGCTTTAATTTAGAATAAGTCTCATTCCTTAATTTCAATAAATACGGCTTCCAGGAATTTTTAAATTAGCATCTTTTTTGACACTTTTAGGTTATACGAAAATGTAAGTTTTGTTTCAACATTTTTTTTCTCAATATTTTTCCAATCCAACCCAACAATTATTATACATCATTTTAAAGAGAAAGCTTTGAGCTTTAATTTAGAATAAGTCTCATTCCTTAATTTCAATAAATACGGCTTCCAGGAATTTTTAAATTAGCATCTTTTTTGACACTTAGATTATGCGAAAATGTTAATTTTTGCTCAATATATTTTTTCTCAATATTCTATCAGATTTTTGTCGTTCTGTAGCTACAGGTCTGATAAATAAATATTCAAATTTACTGCGTCAAGATTCGATGCGTCCGAGATTGCATATTTTGCTAAAATTGATTCCAAAGGCCTTTACTGAGTGTTTTGATATCGTTTTAATTCTGTCACGAAGTTTCAAAATTTTATCCTTCCCAGTTGTTGTATCATGCAATGATACTAATTCCAGTAATTCTTCATAAACGTTGGTATCACATCTGTACTTTCGGAACAGGCAATAGAATTTGCAATGAAAGAGTCTGATTTTGTTTTTATCCAATCACTTGCATTGACAGCTAACTTAATAATTAATAAGTCTATCAGAGATAGTATTTCTGGACAAGGATATATTTTGAAAAGCCTTCACACTTCCAGGACTTACAATTTTATTAATTCACCTTCAACAAATGATTTTAAGTGTTTTGTTATCACCTCCAACAGCTCGCTTGAACAGCAGATTCATTCTTTTGCTTTTTTCACGCTTGCAGGCCGCTTTATCTCGCTATATTCAAAATAGATTCGGGCTGCATGTTTGACATGGCTGATATACAATGTAGTTTTATGTTGTCCACTTCAATATTATTATTTTTTTTAGCACTGGAAAACTTTGGGTCTCATTTATAAAGCGTTTAACAAAACTACTTTTCCGCTTAGGTTTAACACACGATTTAAAAGCCTTTGTAGATGAAATACAATAAAATAACCACTGCTACCGCGTCATGTGGGTATTTACTTATTATTATATATATTTGTTAATAAAGCCAATTCTATCTTCAATCAAATCGTTTTGCTTTAAGCGAAATTTGTTCATAAAGGTACAATTTAGTGCTTTAATTTTGATAAAACTCTAAAACAAAAATATATATATTGTTTTTGTATTTATTATGTAGATATAGATAATAACATTAAATTAAATAAAAAAAGAAACTTAAAAAAAAACTTATTATTGGTTATTAGTGATGTAACTTTCCACATAACCATCAACATCCTCTATCGTTTTCATCACTTCCTTAAAAAATAATTCAGATCCGGAAATTTTATTGGTAAGAAGGTGAACGTAAGCTTTTCTTCGCGCATCTTGAAGTTTATTTCTTAAATTCGAATCCTTTATACTTAACCTGCAAACAAAACAATTTTTATTCTTAATAAAATAAATTAATAAGCAAAAATCGTACATATCTAATAAAATAACACAAATAACGTTCCATTGAGTTGGTTTAAAAACGATATTATGAGCTTGTAATTTAAAAGTCCTAACTAAATCGTGAATATCGGATAAAACGCCATTTCCGCCCAATTTAAAATCTTGAATTTGTTTTTTTAAGCTAAAAAAAACTCATTAATTTTAATAAATTAAAAGATTTTACTAACATTTTATTAATTGAATTAAAAAAAACTCTTTGTCTTAAAGCATTTTGGGAATGAACCTCAACCAATGGTAAAATAGCAGGTTTATCCTCATTTTCTTTATTACATTGCGAAGGAAAATTTTTATCCTCCCTTTCATAGAGATTCCCGCCATAAAAAGCTTTAACCTTCAAATCTAATTCTTTGCTTTCCTCCTTTAATTTTTTATAATCAGGAAGTGGTTTTAAATCGGTATTTTCATCAATAACCACTTTATCAAATCTCTCTTCAGCTATTTCTTGCATTTGAAGTCGCCGACAAATCTCCATATATTTTAATTGTTGTTGCGTGTTTAATTCGCTTATTTTTAATTTATCGAAACAATCCAATAATTTTTTTTCGTTCAAAATCTCTTTAACGCGTTTTTCCCCATAAACAAAAATGAAAGTATCGATTGTTAACCACTCGAAAATATAATTTTTTAGTTTTAATAAATTTTCATCTACAACGTTTTTATTTTCTTGTTGAGTGCTTTCCGTTACTTCTTTTATCGCTTCCAATTTCGTTTTGTTCAATCTTAACGGTTGAGGCTCCACCAATTTAGTTTTTGGATCTTTATTTATTTTTAATTTCTTTTTTAAATACTCCAATTTCTCCTTTTGATTCATACTTTTTAATTTCTCTTTATCCTCTTTATTTATCTTGGTGGATTGATTCGTTTCGACTTTCTCTTCAATCTTGGTCGTTTTAATATTAATTTCATCAATTTTTTTTGTTATTTCTTCAACGGTTGATTCAACACTAGATGAATCATCGTCGATTTCAACTTCGCTTTCTTCATTTTCATTAATAACGTTTAAGGATCGTCTATGAACCTTTAATTTTTTATTGGTAATTTTTTTCTTTTTTTCTGTATCAGCTACTTCTTCCAATGAATACTGAGCAAATTGTGATATTGATGTGAATTGTGTTGTTTCCGTTTCTGTGGTTGATTTGATAATACCTTGATCGATAAATTCACCAGGAGAACCCCTTTAAAATTACATAAAATTAATACAAAATAAATGATTAACACAAAAACAACGTACGTTTCGCTTGATGGTAAAAGATTCAACATGGAAGTTTCGTTATGGTTCCTTAACCATAAAGGACTTGAATCTAATTGCTTCTTGACGTGAAGACTTGCTTTATAACAATAATTGCTACAATAATTCTTTCTATCGGTAATTTCGTATACTTTATTCGCTTTGGATAAGATGATGTATTTTTGTTTAGGCATATCGGGGATTTTCTTCCCACATAGTGAATACCCACAAAGTTTAGCCAAAGATCTTTCTTCAACTACGTCCTGATAATATTCCGGATTAATGTACTTCAACTAATAAATAAAACAGAAACAAACTTGCTTATTAAAATCGTTGGAAAAATTCAAGAATCATCATGTGGCTTAAAAAATCAATGTGAAATGACCCAAAAAACACGTTAAAAATAAAAAGAAAGTGCGGAAAAGTGTAGGACATACTGAAAAATAACATTAAAGTTTTGATGTGATGTCACGTTTTGTGACGCAAGGCAAAAACCGCGACGAATATATTTTTATTGACTTTTCTTTCAATAAAAAAAAATATATCACAATCTAACGCTAAACAACAATTAAAACTAACACAAGACCTAAAACTAGAAACATTCGGATTTAGCCTCACGTCTTTCAAGACGGCTAAACCCGAATGATTCTAGTTCTAGGTCTTGTGTTAGTTTTAGTGCAAAACTAGAACTAACACTAGACCGAAAACTAGAAACATTCGGATTTAGCCTCACGTCTTTCAAGACGGCTAAACCCGAATGATTCTAGTTCTAGGTCTTGTGTTAGTTTTAGTAATAGTGTAAGTGTAAAACTAGAACTATCACTAGACCTAGAAACATTCGGGTTTAGCCGCACGTCTCTTAAGACGGCTAAATCCGAATGATTCTAGTTCTAGGTCTTGTGTTAGTTTTAGTGATAGTGTTAAACTAGAACTATCACTAGACCTAGAAACATTCGGGTTTAGCCTCACGTCTTTGATGACGGCTAAACCCGAATGATTCTAGTTCTAGGTCTTGTGCTAGTTTTAGTTATAGTGTAAGTGTAAAACTAGAACTATCACTAGACCTAGAACTAGAAACATTCGGGTTTAGCCGCACGTCTCTTAAGACGGCTAAACCCGAATGATTCTAGTTCTAGGTCTTGTGCTAGTTTTAGTGATAGTGTAAGTGTAAAACTAGAACTATCACTAGACCTAGAACTAGAAACATTCGGGTTTAGCCGCACGTCTCTTAAGACGGCTAAACCCGAATGATTCTAGTTCTAGGTCTTATGCTAGTTTTAATGATAATGTAAGTGTAAAACTAGAACTATCACTAGACCTAGAAACATTCGGGTTTAGCCGCACGTCTCTCAAGACGGCTAAATCCGCATGATTCTAGTTCTAGGTCTTGTGTTAGTTCTAGTGCAAAACTGGAACTAACACTAGACCGAAACCTAGAAACATTCGGGTTTAGCCGCACGTCTCTTAAGACGGCTAAACGCGAATGATTCTAGTTCTAGGTCTTGTGTTAGTTTTAGTGATAGTGTAAAACTAGAACTATCACTAGACCTAGAAACATTCGGGTTTAGCCTCACGTCTTTGAAGACGGCTAAACCAGAATGATTCTAGTTCTAGGTCTTGTGCTAGTTTTAGTGATAGTGTAAAACTAGAACTATCACCAGACCTAGAAATAGAAACATTCGGGTTTAGCCGCACGTCTTTCAAGACGGCTAAACCCGAATGATTCTAGTTCTAGGTCTTGTGTTAGTTTTAGTAATAGTGTAAGTATAAAACTATAACTATCACTAGACCTAGAACTAGAAACATAAGGGTTTAGCCGGATGTCTCTCAAGACGGCTAAACCCGAATGATTCTAGTTCTAGGTCTTGTGCTAGTTTTAGTGATAGTGTAAGTGTAAAACTAGAACTATCACTAGACCTAGAACTAGAAATATTCGGGTTTAGCCCCACGTCTCTCAAGACGGCTAAACCCGAATGATTGTAGTTCTAGGTCTTGTGTTAGCTTTAGTAATAGTGTAACTATAAAACTAGAACTATCACTAGACCTAGAACTAGAAACATAAGGGTTTAGCCGCACGTCTCTCAATGATTTTAGTTCTAGGTCTTGGGTTGGTTTTAGTGCAAAACTAGAACTAACACTAGACCGAAAACTAGAAACATTCGGATTTAGCCCCACGTCTTTCAGACGGTTAAACCCGAATGATTCTAGTTCTAGGTCTTGTGTTAGTTTTAGTGATAGTGTAAAACTAGACAACAGTGTAAACAGATGGAGAATACGTTTCTTATTGACGAATTCTGGGTGCGTGATTAGTAACTCGTACGTGAGGAATTTGAAGCGAAATTTTCGTCAGGGGCGCATTCTGCTCATCACGGCAGTTGTTAGCAGTGTGGAAAAGTGCAGTGTTTTATAATTTAGTTATTGTTGTGGTTATTGTTTTTGTGGTTAATTGTTGTTGTTATTAAGATTCAATTAAGTACGATGCCTAGCAGAGACGAAGCTGATCACTTTGAGGCCTTAAGTCCAACCAAAAAACATCCTAAAAAAACTTTAGTGTGGAAATGAAGCAACTTATTTTAAATGTTTTTAAAAATGAGACAAAAGAAAACCAGGAAATAACCGTAAATGAGATTGTACAGGGTGGGCAAATTTGGGTGTTATTATAGGCTATCTCAAAAACTATAAGAGATATGAAAAAAGTAGGTGCCATGTCCTCTTTTTTCGACACTAAGCCAATTCTACAAACACCAAACCTCTCTTTTCTTTTGTTTTTAAGTTATAGCCACAAAGTCAAATTTTGGTGATTTCAAAAAATGCTCATGTTTCGTTTATTTTTCAAATTAGAGGAATGGGGTTGATACGTTCTTAAGACACTTTTTTAAGTAGAATATACTGCCGTTGAAAAATTTTTAACATACGTCAAAATTTTTGAGATACAACACAAAGTTGTATTTTTTAAATACAAACTATACTTGATTGTGATGTGCATATTTTTAGCTTTCCAATGATGTATCACATGTATGGTGTATTTGCGGAAAATTCCAGAATAGTAACCGCTAATGTTCAAAATTTTGATTATAGTAGGCGGGTCCTTTGCACAAATATGACAGAATAAAGTTGGTTTTGTACCAACGAATAAAAACTTTGAATAGTTAATTTAAATTTCTCCCTGACTTTGTTCGTCAAGAAAAAATGGTTTGTTTATTAAAAATACAAGAACTGTATTAATTAATGCATAATTAAATATGAACAACTTCAGGAACTAAACAGTCACAGACTGTCATCTTCTTCTACTAAACTTACTGGTTGTAAGGTTAGAACAGTATCAATGAATGAAATCTTCGGTAGTATTTTCCCAGTTTTCCCCAAACATAAGTTTTAGAAAAATTCATGAATGAAATGATAAGCAAACTCACGTTGCTATAGTAACTAAGTGGCATTTATCGTTTTCCTCGCCTACTATAATTAAGAATTTGAATTTTGATCTTTAATATTTAGAATTGAAAAATAACGCTTATTTTCTGCAAATACATCATGCGTGCGATACATCATTGAAAAGCTAAAGATATGCTCTTTTCAATAACATCATAATCAACTATAGTTTGTATTTAAAAAAATACAACTTTATGTTATATCTCAAAAACTATCAGCTATGTTTAAAATTTGTCAACGGCAGTGTATTCTACTCAAAGAAGTGTCTTAAGAATGTATTAACCCCATTTCTCTAATTTCAAAAATAAACGAAATACGAGCATTTTTTGAAATCGCTAAAATTTGACTTTTTGGCTATAACTTAAAAACAAAAGAAGATAGAGGTTTGGTCTTTGCGGGGTTGGATTATTCTCGGAAAAAGAGACCGGGACATGGCACCTACTTTTTTCGTATTTCTTACAGTTTCTGAGATAGCCTGTAATAACGCCCAAATTTGCCCACGCTGTACACAAAGTTGCAGAAAAGATTGGAGTAAGCCGTTTTTTCTGAACCAAAAACAAACCAAAATCGCACAACTATGGTCAAAAAACTTGATGAAGTTGATAAGTATGCCAAGAAGTCCATGAATTCTTTTTCCACAATGAAGTAGTAATTGAAAAACTTTTAAAAGAAGTTAATGATGAGACTTGTTGCCAAATTTTAAACGTACCACATTTTACAATGTTTTGAAAAGTTTAAATTTTAAATGGCAAAAGCGAGGACGGAATAGCTTGATGGAAAGGGAAGAAATTATGATGTGAAGAGATTACCTCACTAAAATTAAAGCGTATAAGCAAGAAAATAAAAACCTATCCTTGATTAAACATGGTTTAATGCAGGGCACACAACCCCTTATGTATGGATTGACAAAACCGTGACTTCGTCCAGACAAGCCTTTTTTTTAAGTATGTATAAATGTGATTTTTACAGCATAAAATATCTTTTTTAGGAAAAGGAAAATGGCTTATTGTTTGCCATATTGGTAATGAAAAACGATTAAAAGGTACTTTGAATAAAAAAAACAGGCGATTATCACGACGAAACGAATGGGTAGTCATTTGAAAAGTGGTTTGCAAATATTTTATTCCGTTTAGATGCAAACTCCGTTATACTCCTTGATAATGTACCATACCACTTTTGGCGAATTGAAAAAATACCAACAAGTGGTTCGAAAAATGGGAATGTTCAAAACTAGTTGCGCTCTAAAAACATTCAATTTCATGACTCTTTGCTTAAGTTTCAACTTTTGGCAATAGTTAGCGCATAAAGCAAAATACCAAAAGTATATTGTTGATGAAATGGCCGCGAGTCAAAATAAAACGTATTACGTTTTAATTTGCAGATTTAAAAAACCTTTTTAATGAAGCCTTGCAAAATATAACTGCTGAAAAATGGAGAAAAGGTGTTCAGCATGTAATCAAAAAAGTCGAAGTTAAAATGTGGGAGTTGAACAACTTAATTGAGGTTCAAGGCTGATGATGGCAGATAATCATGATACTGATGTTGATGAAGAATCAAGTTCATCATAATGAGTTTTAAACAATATACATTTTTTAAATAATAATTTTTTTAAATATTGTAAAAACTATAAGAAAATTTAAAAATCAAAATAGTTTGTTAAATATTGATCAATATATTTAGCTTTTAATACGACCCTGTTCAATGTTTTTGTATTATCACATGATCAGCATGTGCACAGTGCATGATTGTGTTTATATTCAGTTCATCTTGGATTTGACTTGACTTTAGGTCTAGTGTTAGTTCTAATTATAGTGCAATAAAAATAATAGCTAACTAGCACTACCTAACACTATCACTAGAAGTAACATTACACTTTTCTTTCAATAAAAATATACCACTATTTAACACTAAATAACATTTAAAACTAACTAAGATTAGACCTAGAACAAAGGTTCTTACTTCTAAGTAAACCTAAAAGGAGACTTACACAACGTAAGAATATCTCTGATTTTAGTTTCCCCTCAATTAAAAATTCAACAACTTTTAATGCGTACGTTTCACACTCCTTTTTACGCTGGGCTGTAGCTAAAAGTTGTTGCTGGCTAAAACAACGATTTTAATAAAAATTAACAAGAAGTATTTAACCAACTTTATTTTCGCAGTTGCTTCTTTCTTATCTTCGGCGTTTTTCGATATGCGTATGTAATCCTCAATGGAATCCTCCATTATGTTATCACAATTCTTGTATTATTAAGATTAGGGGTTGAGAAATTCGAGTCCAATAAACAAAGAACTAAACCGCCGATTTTTTGTCGCACATGTTTTCACCGACTATTTAAAACCCCAAATTTCGCTGATTTCAAAACAACAACAATCTATTTGTTCCCGTTATCTTTCAATAACAAGATTCCATAAGTTTTGCGAAATTTGGATTCTGACATTTCCAATTGACATTGACAAGTAACAGTTAATTTCCTTAATCAGCTGACTAAAAAGTACCAACTCAAAAATTTAATTAAAAAAATCTCTTTAATTAACTCTTTTATTACATATATAGTTTATTTAAAACGAAAAATTAATTAATTTATTCTTCGAAACATCAATTTCGTTATGTATTAATTATTTTTTAGTTTTAGGTTTAATTCGCGATCAACTTCACATTTGTTTAAGGTAGCACAAAAAACTAACCTCAAAAAAAAATCATGATATTTTCACCTTTCGATAAATCGCATAAAATTCGCAATGGATAGAAGAATTTTGAAACCAACTAGACGTAATCGCGATAAAAAACGGAATTCGGAACGTAAAGCGGAAGATAACGTTTCCACTTCAACACCTCGTGGATCCGGTGTAAAAAGAAAATGCGAAGATTACAACGAAACACCGATAAAACGAAGCAAAGGTAGCGAAAATTTACTGCAACCGTATTCGGCTAACGACCGTTTGAAACGATACCGACAGGCTTTGAATGAAAAGAAAGACCAAATTGTTAAAGTCCATAAAGTGTTTGATAATTCCTCCCAAGGGAGGAGTCAAAATGTAGGTAGGAGTAATATTAATAGCCCCCCAAAGATTACCATTAATGATAGACTAAAGAAAGTTCGTGAAAGTATAAGGGAAACAAGAGTTGACAATATTTGTAAAGTCAAGGAAGAAAAGAAGTTTGTGGATGCTTCGATACTCACAAGTGAATCTTTGATGCAAATACCTGATGATAAAAGTATTAAGAATAAGGAGCTTTCTTACAATAAAAGCTTTTTGCATCATAGTGAAATGGATCTAATGGAAGATATGGATTGGAGTCCAATAGATGAAGAACAATTAGAAGCAGACATAAAAAAACTTCGAGAAACAATTCATTCAAAACCAAATCCAAAGTTTTTACACCTATTAAACGAAAATCCAAGTTCCCCCAACCCAATACAAAACGTTTTATATATCATAGTTGACACAAACATATTTATTTCACATTTAAATTTAATTAAAGACATTTGCAAAGCAAAGAATGACAATAAACTGGTTGTTTATGTGCCTTGGATGGTTTTTCAAGAATTAGATTACTTTAAAGACGGAAGAGGGGGTGGTAAAATAACTCAAACAGCAGCCAAAAAAGCTGTAACATTTATCAATGAGATGTTAATGCGAAAAGATGGAACTTTAAAAGGACAAACAGTTCACGAAGCTTTATCCCATGATTTTTCAAATTCAAACGCCGACGATAACATTTTATTTTGTTGCTTAAAATTGCAACAAATCCAACCAAAAATCGTTTTGTTATCGAACGATAAAAATTTACGAAGCAAACTTTTAATACATTCAATAGAAGCTTGTTCTACGGAAACAATCATGAGTCATTTAAAAAGTGACGTGTTTAATTTAAATAATCAGGGGTTCATCCAACCAAATGAGCCACCAATTACAAGAATAACGACCGTTTTTACAAACGCATGCACTGAAATAATTAAGAAAGAATTAGAGAAAGCTTATGGAAATACCGTTTATAAAATTGTTAGTGAACCCCCTTGGACACTCCAAGAGTGTCTTAATTATATTAAAAGATTTTGGGTGCCGGTTTTTTCCCTTATAATCACACAAAAACAGTGTTTAAAAACTGTGGATGATTTATTGGAATATCTCAGGTTACATAAAAGTAATAAAAACCACCTTTTCTTATTATTTATTTATTAATTTAATTAATTTTTTAGATATGGGTGATTTATCTTTAACGGAACAAGAGGAATTTGTAAAAATAACTTTATCACTCTGCGTTTATTTCAAAAACTGCCTTTCGCCACACGAATCTTTAATGAAATCCTGCATTTCTGAGATTCAAAAAATTCTTCAATAACCTCATTTGGAACTGACGATTATTAATAACGAATATAGAGTTTTGTTGTTATTTTTATAGTTTTGTTTAACGCTTATAAAGCGAAGTGATACAGAATAAATAATTTTTGTCTTTATTTAAATTTTTTGCGTGACTAACTTCACTCGGTTTATTTAACTGTCAATGTCAAATCTGTTTTCATAGTTGTCGTGAGTCAGAATTATACGTCAAACGAAATCGATTATCTGATATTTGATTAAGTTTAGCTAGGATCTGCAACGAATATTCGTAACAAAGGTGAATAATTTTATTACTTTTTACGTATTTAAATCTTAACGTGTGTTTGGTAATTTTGTAGCGATTTAAAGGGTGCGACACCATGGAAAGTTTCTCTTCTTATCATAATGGGGGGCAGAACAGAGAGCAGGATTTTCAAAAACTCGCCCAAACGATTGGTTCTAGTATACAAAAGATATCACAGAATGGTATGTAAAAAATATCATTTAAAAACCGATTTAATATGTTGTAAAGTGATGTTTTACCTCATATATCTATAGTAAAGAGATAAACAGTTGTATCTCCAATTTTACCCAATATTGAATTAATATCATTTTCAAACTACATACATTTGGTTTGTTATTATGACAAAAAATCGTAATTCTATGTTTCTTGATTACTTGTTATTGTATTTATGAAAATGCAGTATCTCCATTTTTTAATGAGGTAAAGAATTGTATCTCCAAAATTTAGAAAACAGATTTTTTAAAGAATACTGGAGTGATGAGAAAAATTGGGATATAAAGAACAAATCAAAACTATCCAACAACAATATTATGATCACTTGAAAGAAGTAGATAGTAAGTATAAGCTTAAAAAATGATGAAGAAGAAAGTAAAAAATTTAAGATTAAATCAATTTATTAATTATTTATTAATCACTCCATACTTATCAAATAAACAAAGTTTTTATTATCTTAAGCTATGGACTTTAAATTTGAGACTCATCATGTCGCTTAAAAATCGACAATTTCTTTTTTAATCGATGGGAAATCACTCAAGTAAGCCTTTACAACTAAAAAAAAGCGCGGAAAAGTGTAAAACCGATAAATCACGTTAAAGTTTCGACGTCACGTCACTTTTTGTGACGTCATCGACTGTGCTAACCATATATTTTTGCAACACATTAGGTTAAAATGTATATTTTCGGGTGAAATACGGTTGTTTCTTAGATTTTCGACGCAACGACTAAAATGTCGTTGTTTACCATCTATAAACTAAAGATAACCTAAAATCTATACCTGATGCCCTACCCCCTCTTAATTTATTGGTTCCTGAATGCTAGATATTGTTGGCAAAAGACTAATTATTGCTATCAGAAGATTAAACACTGCTAGTAAAAGACTAAAAACTGCTTGGAAAGAGGAAATACTATTTCAACAAGTTACCTACTGCTTCTAAAATGCTACATACTGCAGAAAAAGACCATAACTTACTTGGAAAAGACTAGATACTGTTTTCAAAATAATACCTATTGCTTCCAGAACGCTAAACACTGCTGTTAAAGGTTTCGACCTACTTGTATAGGCGGAATACTGCTTCCAAGACTACTTATTGCTTTCAAAGACTTTAATAATTGTTTGGAAAAGAGATATCTACTGCTTCCAGAATGTTAGATGCCGCTGGAAAAGACTAATAACTGCTTGGAAAGAAGAGATATGCTTCCCAAAAAGCTATCTAATGCTGCCAGAATGCTAAATACTATTGGAAAAGACTAATAACTACTTGGAGAGAAGAGATATGCTCTCAAAAAAAGATACCTACTGCTTCCAAAATGCTAGATACTGGTGGAAAAGATTACAATCTGCTTGGAGAAGACTAGATACTGCTAACAAATAACTACAAACTGATTGACAAGACGAGATACTGCTTCCATAAGACTACTTACTGCTTTCAGAGCGCTATATACTACTAGAAAAGATTACGACCTGCTTGGAGAAGACTAAATACTGCTGGGAGAAACAATTATCTGCTTGGAAAGACAAGATACTGTTCCAAAAAACTATTAATTACTTACAGAATGCTAAATATTGTTTAAAGACTACTAATTGCTTGGAGAAAGCTAGATATTGTTGGCAAAGACTATTTAATGCTTTCAGAAGACTATATACTGCTGCCAAAACACTACTAAGTGCTTGGAGATTACAATACTACTTTCTGCCAGTAGACTATTTACTGAAACTATTCTTCTGTTGAGTGATATCTTTCTGTGTCCCTTCCATGCTGCTACAACACTCAATTCTTTGTCACCCAGATGCGACATATCTTTTTAGAGGAGGGCTCCACCCCCTCTCTTTAAACGTTACATTCAGATCCACCTAGTTTACTGATTTATTTCAAAATTTTGTGTAGAAATTCTACAGATTGGGCATGAAACAGAGGGTGGGTTGTAAATTCCTGGTTGGGTTAGCCGTGCATCTTCAGACCCGATTCTTTCTAGTTCTAGTGTTAATTCTAGTTTTAGTTCAATAAAAATATACAACATAGTAATATCTTATACTAACTAGCGTTACCTACCACTGCCACTAGAACTAACACAAGACCTAGAGCTAGAATCATTCGGGTTTAGCCGCACGTCTCTCAAGACGGCTAAACCCGAATGATTCTAGTTCTAGGTCTTGTGTTACTTCTAGTACACTAGACCTAGAACTAGAAACATTCGGGTTTAGCCGCACGTCTCTCAAGACGGCTAAACCCGAATGATTCTAGTTCTAGGTTTTGTGTTAGTTCTAGTTCTAGTGTAAAACTTGAAAATAAGGTGTTAAATTGTAAATATTTGACTCAACTTTGATCGCTCATATCTCGAAAACAAAAGAGTTGCGTCCTTATGTTTATAAAAAAAACTTGTGTTATTTTGGCAAGTACTATATCCTAGTAAAGTTTCCCGATTAAAAACTGAACCACCCAGTACACAGGGTGTGTCAAATGTCTGGAATATAGCCTTTTGTGGTTTTAAAGAAAAATGTTTCAAATAAAAAATTCTTTATTAATTGTGGCGCATTTTTTGGCGTTACTTGCTTGTTTACATTGTTCTTTGTTTCGTTGCTATGGCAACCAACATTGTTATGGGATGCATATGTTTCTTGCACATTTTAATAGAGGATAAATCCCTCTACGCGATGAACATAACAAATCATATGGTTGTATAACGAAAAAATCGAGAAAGTAGGCGTCGAAATAAAGCCGTTGACAGCTGTAAATGTCAAAAAATGACAGTTTAAACAAATATGGCGCAATTAAGCGAACGACAAAGAATTCAAATATTAATGCTGTATGGGTACGGTGATAGAAAACGGACTCAAAGTGAAGTTTGTACACTGTTCAATAATATTTACCCGGATACACAAATTACACAATCCACAGTATCCAAAATATTAAAAAAAATTCTTTTACACCGGAAGTGTTAAAAATCTCCCAAAAAGTTGATGACCAAAGACAGCTACCAATGACCATGCATTATTAATGATTCATAATTGATGAAACTGTATTTTTTTGACATTTAAAGCTGTCAACGGCGTTATTTCAGCGCCTACTTTGATTGTAATTAGCTGATTTAATACTTTCAAAAAACACATTTTTTCTTATACAACTATATGATTTGATATGTTCATCGTGTAGAGGAACTTATTCTCTATCAAAGTATGCAAAAAAAATATATGCATCTCATTTAAAATAACAACGTTGGTTGCCATAGCAACGAAACAAAAAACAATACAAATAAGCAAAAATCGCCAAAAAATGCGCCATGATTAATAAAGAAACATGTATTTGAAACATTTTTTTTTAAACCACAAAGGGCGAAGTTATTGGCTATATTCTAGACATTTGACACACCTTGTATGTTACTGTAAAAGCCCGAACTGCGGTAAATCTTAGGTTTAACTAGTAAATCTTAACAACATGAGTTGGTAAATGCGAGGATTTTTTAAACGAGATAATTTTTTGGTTTTTACCAATACAGTTTTGTACATGCAAAGTTTTACTAATATCAATTAGTAAATGTTGGTTTTGAGAATAAAACAATATATTTCTTAATCATTTATTTTAACAAGTTATTACAATGTAATTGGTTATGAAATTACCCATCTATCAAATCTTTACATTGCTTAAATTATTATCTATTATATGGTATTTTTTTAAACATCTTCAAAATACGTTTTATGCTTTTTGTGGCATTTAGAATTACAAAGGGACTACCGTTGTACCTGAGTAACCTGACCTTTGTACCTGATTCTTAGTATAAAGCTGCTTTAGTACTCCAATTTCGTACCCAGTTGATAAAGCTCCTTATTTTTTATATCTACCACAACTGCAATAATGCTTTTTGGGTCAGTTTTAACTCTGTCAATGTCAGGTACTTTCAGTCTTACATTTTGGCCAACATTCACATTTGGATATTTATTATGATGTTGCTTTCATTTTTTCAGCTTGATTTTCCAAATTGAATTTTACATTTTTTCTTATGTCCAGGATAGATTCTTTCTTTATCGATATTAGCTCTTCAGTTATAAAAACTTCTTGCTACAAGTTCGTCGATTATTTCGTAAAATCTCTTTTAACACTCGTTTTGATTGATTAGTTGAGATATGACAGTGAAGACACTCACATATATCGAATTAATATCACTTTCGATTCATAAATTAGTTTCGAACAACAAAAACAAACAGAAGTCAAAATGAACGTGCGCGTTCAAACCTACGAGTAGGAGAACACATCTATATGCGTCTATTTTTCGACATTTACCGTGTCTCTGCGGTAAAACCTAAGATTTACCGAGTGGATGGTGGTAAAAGTTAGAAATGAACGATGATCACAAAACATTTCGGACTTTTACCATTCAGAGTTGGTAAATGTTAGGTTTCACTGGAAAATATTAGGATTTATTTACCGTAATTAGGGCTTTTACAGTAACATATATATTAGAAGTGCAAACTCTGATAAGTTGGGAATCAGCGGAATCAGTCTTTTGAAATAAAGTGTAAAAAATCAACAGGATTTGGTTTAATTATTATCACCTCGCAACAAATAATTTTTTTTAATTTAGTTTCATCCATGCAAAGAATGGTAAATCAAATAGGAACACCGCAAGATTCGCCCGAATTAAAAAAACAATTACATTCCATCCAGCATTACACCCAACAACTCGTCAAAGATACTTATGGATACATTAAAGATCTTAATGCTTTACCGTCTACTCAATCGGAAATGAGACAACGGAAAATGCAAAAAGAACGGTTACAGGATGAATATACGTCAACTTTGAACATTTTTCAAATGGTTCAGAGAAGTGCTGCCCAAAAAGAACGAGATCAAGTTAAACAGATGAAAAATCAAGCGTATTATGAATCACATTCTGGTCATAAAAAGGATCAATTGATTGAGTTACAAGATAATGTAGCAACAAAACAACAACAACAACAAATTATGCAGGAAGAAATCGATTTGAGGGCTATGCAAGAACAAGAACAATCTATGCAACGAATAGAGGTAAAATAAGTACATATTATGTTGTTTATATTAATCTAATTGTTCCTTTTAGAGGGATATAAACGATGTAAATCAAATATTTAAAGAATTAGGGGCGCTAGTTCATCAACAAGGCGAATTAATTGATAGTATAGAGGCTAGTGTTGAACGCACGGAAAGTTATGTTCAGCAAGGAGCGCAACAACTTCAATCAGCGAGTGTTTATAAAAATAAAATTCGAAAGAAGAAGGTCTTTTTTGGTTTAATCGGGGCGGTTATTTTAATTGTGATTATTATTATTATAATTTGGCAAACAAACTGAACGAAAAAGAAATTTCTAAAAAAACAAAATGAATGGTTTTTGGGAAAATATTAAAAATTGTATACTGAATAGTAATTGATAACAAAAAACTAATGTAAACAGTTTTCATTTTAATTGATATTGTTAATATTTTTATTTTGTATGTTTAATTCGCTTTATAGTAAGAAAAAACCTTGTATTATTCTTATTCATTTTAACCCTTCTGGAAAAACAAAAAAGATTGTTATGTTATAAATATGTATAGTTCATAAGTTATTTCAATTTATTGTATTATAAAAGTGTATAAGATATAAATAAACTAATGTGTTAATAAATTCTTTTTTAGTTTAATAAAAAAAAAATTAAGTTGGGTACACTGAAATCTGACATTTGACAAAGAGAGGAGTTAAAGCATATACAGGTGTCCCTGTGGATACATTATTCTGAAGCAGAGCTGTTACATATACACTATAAATTATTTTTACTCCAAGTAATAAGTAACTAGTATTAAAAAGTACTTGGACTAATAAGTAATTTTACTTGAAACTAAAATTTCAAGTACCCAATGCAAAGTGATTACAACCCTTGAAGGTACATAATATCCTTGTATTTTTAAATAATTCTCCTGTACTGAGTAATCATACGTGGTAGAACAGTGTTATTGAAACTTTTTTCCAGAAATTTCTACACATATTTCGATTTGTATAAGATTTTGCAAAATTTTCCAAATATATCTAGAGATTTTGCAACAATTTCCTAAAATGTTCAAAGACATCCCGTTATTTCTGAGTGAATCGAAAGCTTTTAAAGGATTTTTAAATTGTACGAATTTCCAAGAAAAAAAGGATATCCATTAATAATAAATAGGATTTTAATAATTCTCAACGATTCATATAAGTATTCCCATAAGATTTTCAAAGATGCCATCCGAATTTCTCAGGATTTTTGAGGAATCCAACGAGTTCCAGAGATTTCTATAGATATTTAGATTTTCTAAAAGGTTTTATGAAAATTTCCAAATACATCCAAGGATTTTGTAGCAATTTCGTAAAATTTTCAAAGATAACCAAATATTTCTAGAGATTTCAAGGAATATCCACAGATTTTTACGAATTTCTTAGGATTTTTGAGTGTATCCAAGGTTTTTGAATGATTTTTTAGAAAAATTAGAAGGATATCCAATGATTATTACGAATGTCCAGGACATTTAATTCTTCCCAGACACTTATGTATACATTTCTTAGCATTTCCAGGAGATTTCCAAAAGATTTCAACGGATTTTCAAGTGTACCATAAAAATTTCACAGAATACCTAAGGTTATCTAGGATTTTGCAGAGATTTCTACAGAATTTCAAGTTTTGAGAAGATTTTATAGGAATTTCCAAATATATCTAGGGGTTTTGAAACGATTTCCAATAACTTTCATAGTTAACTGGGTATTTCTAAAAATTTTAAGCAATTTAGACACATTTTCAAAGATATCCATCGATCTTTACGGATATCTTAGGATTTTTTAGTGTATCCAAGGTTTTAGAATGATTTTTTTGAAAAATTGGAAGGATTTCTAAGGATATCTAGGGGTTATTACGAATGTCCACGATTTTTAGTTATTCTCAAAGATTTATGTAGACATTTTTTAGTATTTCCAGAAGATTTCAACTGATTTTTCAAGCATACCATGAAGATTTCAAAGAATACCTTTCAAGTTAATATTCAACCTAAAAGTGTGTTCTTTAATTTATTTCAAATAAACATTGTCCTAAATTAATTAATTTTTCCAGGAGAAGGTTTTAAGAAAAATTCGTTGTGATTAAAAACTGCTAGTTACCAAGAATCATCATGATGCAAACTGTTAATTATCTCATAATTAAATATAGTTATAATCTTGCAAAATACATCAAATTCAAGCTAAAAGTGTACTTTAATTTATGTCAAATAAACATTGTTCTAATTTTATTAATTATCTTGTAGGAGTTTTTTGAAATTAATTGAATTATGATAAAAAACTGCAAATTACCAAAAATCGTCGTGATGTAAAATACTAACTCGGGTTTAACGTTTTTTTATTCAAATTTTTTTGTTGTTTGAGATAAGTGCGTCATGTTTGAACTCATTTTAAAGGTTTTTTTTTAATAAAGAATACATTATGCAAGAACACCATGAAGTTGTCCATTTGTCTATTATATAATAACTAACTTCAGATTTAAAATGTCAACCTCAATTTTAACATATTTGTGGAAGAACGATGGGAGACTAACGAACATTACCTTTTGTTCACAAATTTATATACAGCGTGACCCATTTCAAAGCGGAACACCCTCGTAAAATCTGTATTTATTACCCGATTTCGAGAAAGAGTCAAAGAGTCATATTTTTTTTGAAAAACCAAGGCCTACTATTTCACTTTTTAGGTGCAAAAAATGAAGAAATCATATTAGGAAATTTTTTACAAAAATCTGACTACACCACTGCATTAAGCGCCCTTAGAAATGGACATATACCAAATTTCATCAAAAATGGTTACAAATTAACACTGTTCAGATAATTAAAAATATAATTTTTTATCAATTAATTTCATCTGTAACAAATGTAAATAGTTTTTGTATTATTGTCTGTACTTTATTAACTTTTTTGTCATGGTTTACTAGATCAGATCAAATAAATTCATAAAAAATGATATTTTTCAATTATCTGCAACGTTTTTAATTTCTAACCATTTTTGATGAAACTTGGTATATAACCATTTCAAAAGGCGCTTAATGCAGTGGTGTACTCAGATTTTTTCTAAAAAATGTCCTAATATGATTTCTTCATTTTTAGCACCTAAAAAGTGAAAAAGTAGGGTTGGCTTTTCTAAGAAAAACAGAATTCTTTGTCCGAAGATACAATTTATTATGGTCTATACTTCAAAAAAAAAAAAAAAATTGTCGAAATCTGATAATAAATGCAAATTTTACGAGGGTGCTCCGCTTTCAAATGGGTCACACTGTATCTATGCTGGTTTTTGTGAACAATAAACTTGTTTATTATTATTATTATATTTGTAATCTTCATTAAAAATGCTTTAAAATGAGTACAAACACGATATATTTATCTTCAATATTAATGAAGTTATGGTCAACTTTCGGTTACAAATGTCAACGTCAATTTTGACAGATTTGTAATCGTCGGCGTCGTGAAAAATCCTTTAAAATGAGCCCAAACATGATACGTTTAATTCCAATATTATTCGAGATATAAGCGAATTCCGATTTGAAATGTCAATGTCATTTTGACATATTCTTAATTTTTATAAAATGTCTTATATTAATATTTAAAACTTAAATTGATGTCTTCATTATTGCTAACTTCGGGTTTAACGTTTTTTATCTTTGGACTCATTTTAAATGTTTTTTAATGAAGATGACAAATATGTCAAAATTGACGTTAACGTTTCAAACCGGAAGTGATTGTATTTCCATTAATATTAAAGTTAAATATGTCGAGTTTGGACTCATTTTAAAGGATTTTTTATGAAGATTTCGAATATAATAATAAAATTAAAGTTGACACCCGACTGTTTCTAAAACTAGTGTTAGTTCTAGTTTTAATTGTTATTTAACCTTAAATTATTGTACACTTTAATTGATATAAAAAAAATTTTTGTTTTTGATTTAATCCACTTACCTTGCTTATAATTTCATCCATTTACCCATTTTGAAATAAATACAACCTTTAAATCCAATTAATTATGTGTTTTTCATTAAAAAAAAACTTAAATTCAACGTCAATTTTGACAAGCAACTGCAATATTTGGACCTTAATCACCATGGTAACCGAGTCAAGTTGATAACCTTAAAATAATAAAACTTTATTCCGATTTTTTTAACAATTTTAACCTAATTTTTATTAATTTTAAAACAATTCGAATTCTTTACGATTATCTCGCATTCACAACAAATTCGTTAATTGTAGTTAATTTAAATCGATACTAATTAAGAGAAATAAATTAAAAATTTCTTTTTTTGATTTAATCCACTTACCTTGTTTATAATACCCTAGATAAACCAATTTTGAGTTAAATACAGCCTTTTAAACCAATTAAATAAGACTTTTTCCTTAAAAAAAAACTTAAATTCAATTTCAATTTTGACAAGCACCTGCAATATTTGGATCTTAATCACCATGGTAACCGAGTCAAGTAGGATAACCTAACAATAATAAAATTATAACCGTTAATATTTTGCTTTATATTTTAATATTTTTTTAATTTCATTTTATATTTTTATATATTGCTTCTTAAGTGAAATACACTGTATAAATAAAAACATAGAAATGTCAATTCTTCCAATGACGTCACGGCAAGGCCTTTGCGGGGGATACGTTCATTAACAACAGCGTTCATATGGAGTTGGATAACCTTATACAGTGTGTTTACCCAAGAGAGGAGTTAAAGCATATACCGGTGTCCCGTATCTTCCGAATTAGAGCATTTTTTTAATAAAAGTTTTTCGAAATGTTTATAATAACCGCACGGGAACTGTTTAAATTCTTCCAGAAAAAAGGGGAATCTTTTCGAACGAAGAGTTCCAACTCCAAAACCCAACTGGATATCAACCAATCATCAATTAACCTCCAAAATTGAAGGTTAAGCTGTAACATATAGATTTTTATAAGTTTTTAGATTTCTTTTTAATAAAAAATTCCAATAAAGCAGACAATTAAAGTGTTTATCTTATTATTCATTTTGTTATCTTATTTATCTTATTAATTAAGATAAATAATTACAAACAACTCAAGGGATCAGCAAAAATTTAGTTTTCAAAGTACTAAAAGAGTGATTAAATTTAAACGAATAAAAATTTACAAAATACCCTATTTATTTATTGGCAAAAAACATTTAAAATTACTTACAATAAATATTTATGTACATCACAAATGATTTTTTTTAGTTTTAAGTAACTATTTAGTGATAATACACACAGGGTTAAAAGTTGATCGTTCTTCATTTCTCACCAACAAATTTCTTCGTTAACTTTGAATTCATTTCATCTTGTCAAGAAAATAAAAAGAACCTGTGGGTATATAAATAAGCGTATAGTGATTTATTTATTTCTTAATTTTCTAAATGATATCCTCCAAAACGTTAATCGTAAAAAAAGTAGGAAAAAACGAACTTTATTTAAACGCTTATTACTCGACGCATATCATTTTTTCAATTAAAATATATAATTTTCATTTATTAATTATTGCACGAATCTAGAGTATCAGATTTTTTTCGTAATAATAATAACAACAACTGGAGAAAAAGAGATGGCTCGATACACTTTTTTAAAATTATTACTTATTTATTTGTTTTTACTCTACGATGAGGCAGCGTGGCAAGTGTTCCTTCAGGTAATCGAATAATTCCCTTGAAGCACCCGGACAATTCGTCAATTCTAACTCACGCATGTGCCTCAATTGAATTAAACTTGACAAACCACTCGATGTTAACAATGGACAACCTTAAAGAGATAACGAATGTAATTTAGATCATTAAGATTAGTTACAATTTTATTTTTACCTGCTAATGATAATATTTGAAGGTTTCTCATACCACATAAATGTTGCAGTCCAAAATCTCTCAATTGGGAACACCAGCGTAGGTACAAAGCGGAAAGAGACAACATTGTAGATATGTAACCCACACCGATATCCGTTACATGAACACACCTATATTTAAATTAAAAAAATATGTTAATAAAAATATGCAAAAGGATAGTTTTAACATCTCTTTGTATGATAATCTAGATTTTTAACGTTCTGTTACAATGATGGATGCGATAAGTCGTTTAGGGCGCACAGGATGTTATGAATTATACTCATAAAACACCGTTATGTGTGCTTAAGAGACATATATATATATATATATATATATAAAGTGTTTTCTAGAAAATTATAGATTGGATTGTTGTAAAGTGTGTGACAAAGTATGGAGAAGAGAATCCTTGCAGAAGTCACAAGTAAGAAAATTGGTGTTTCTTAGAGTCAATTAGAAAATCTAAAAGATATAACAAAGAAGAGGCGCGTTAAATTTTAGACATTCACTTTTGAATAGAATACATAATGAATTAAAATGGTAGTTATCTCGTAATTAGGACTAGCTATAAGGTTGTATAATACATCAAATTCAAGCTAAAAGTGTGTATTTTATTTTATTTTTATTAAACATTCTTCTAAATTTATTAATAAACCCGGGATAATGTTTTGAAGTAATCTGTTAATTATCAAAAATCATCATGATGCAAACTGTTAATTATCTCGTAATTAAAAATAGTTACAATCATATACAATGTATCAAATTCAAGCTAAAAGTGTGTACTTTAATTTATTTCAAATAAACATTGTTCTAATTTTATTAATTATCTTGTAGGAGTTTTTTGAAATTAATTGAATTTTGATAAAAAACTGGAAATTACCAAAAATCGTCATGATGTAAAATGCTAACTGTCTCATAATTAAAAATAGTTATAATCATGTATAATATATCAAATTCAAGCTAAAAGTGTGTTCTTTAATTTATTTCAAATAAACATTGTTATAACTTAATTAATTTTCCCGGGAGAACGTTTTAAACAAATTCCATTTTGTTTAAAAACTGCTAATTACCAAAAATCATCATGATGCAAACTGTTAATTATCTCGAAATTAAAAATAGTTTTAATCATGTATAATGTATCAAATTCAAGCTAAAAGTGTGTACTTTAATTTATTTCAAATAAACATTGTTCTAATTTTATTAATTACCTCGTAGGAGTTTTTTTAAATTAATTGCATTTTGATTAAAAATTGCAAATTACCAAAAATCGTCATGATGTAAAATGCTAACTGTCTCATTATAAATAATAGTTATAATCATGTATAATATATCAAATTCAAGCTAAAAGTGAGTTCTTTAATTTATTTCAAATAAGCATTGTTCTAAATTAATTAATTTTTCCGGGAGAACGTTTTAAAAAAATTCCATTTTGATTAAAAACTGCTAATTACCAAAAATCATCATGATGCAAACTGTTGATTATCTCGTAATTAAAAATAGTTATAATCATGTATAATGTATCAAATTCAAGCTAAAAGTGTGTACTTTAATTTATTTCAAATAAACATTGTTCTAATTTTATTAATTACCTCGTAGGAGCTTTTTAAATTAATTGTATTTTGATTAAAAATTGCAAATTATCAAAAATCGTCATGATGTAAAATGCTAACCGTCTCATTATTAATAATAGTTATAATCATGTATAATATATCAAATTCAAGCTAAAAGTGTGTTCTTTAATTTATTTCAAATAAACATTGTTATAAATTAATTAATTTTTCCGGGAGAACGTTTTAAAAAAATTCCATTTTGATTAAAAACTGTTAATTACTAAAAATCATCATGATGCAAACTGTTAATTATCTCGTGATTAAAAATAGCTATAATCATATACAATGTATCAAATTCAAGCTAAAAGTGTGTACTTTAATTTATTTCAAATAAACATTGTTCTAATTTTATTAATTACCTCGTAGGAGTTTTTTTAAATTAATTGCATTTTGATTAAAAATTGCAAATTACCAAAAATCGTCATGGTGTAAAATGCTAACTGTCTCATAATTAATAATAGTTATAATCATGTATAATATATCAAATTCAAGCTAAAAGTGTGTTCTTTAATTTATTTCAAATAAATATTGTTCTAAATTAATTAATTTTTCCTGGAGAACGGTTTAAATAATTCCATTTTGATTAAAAATTGCTAATTACCAAAAATCATCATGACGTAAACTGTTGATTATCTCACAATTAAAAATAGCTATAATCATGCAAAATACATCAAATTTAAGCTAAAAGTGTGTACTTTAATTTATTTCAAGTAGACATTGTTCTAATTCGTAGGAATTATTTGAAATTAATTGCGTTTTGATTAAAATTGCGAATTTACATAATCACCGTTAATCAAAATGTTGGATATCTCTCCATTAAGAATAGTTGTAGTCATGTGTTATACATCAGTTTCTAGGTAAAAGTGTATATTTTATTTTATTTCTAATAAATATTGTTCTATATTAATTAATTTTTCGGGAATCTTGCAAAATTCAAAACCGAAGCATTTCCTCCTCAATGAAGGTAACAAACAGCGACGATTATCCAAAGATAAGCACGAATTTCTTAACAAGTTCGAAGGCAATGTTGTACTTCAAGGCAGTAATGGGAGAGGAGCAAAAAAAGTCTCACTGGCACAAGCACCTGAGTCTTCAGATAAAAGTTGTCCAAAAATGTAGATATTTTGTGAACTCTGGGTAAAACTGGAATGTGGCCAAAATATACACAGTCATATAGTATATACATTAGTGTACTGTTTAATACATAAATCTCCACAACATGTAACTCAGATGGAGGTGATATTTTCAGTACTGCACAACTTTATGAAGCAAACTAGGAAGGAAAGGCTTTGCAAAAATTTCATGCCTTGTAAGTGCAGTTAAGATGGAAATGAATGAAACATTTCGCAATAAAGTATTTCTTTCGTAAATTTATATACCTTATTTTTATTAAAGTAAAACCTAATTATGAAGTTTTAAATAATTTAAGAACGACATCTAGTGGCAGATTTATCAAACAAGATTTACTCTAAAACTCAGAAAAGCGGTAAATCTGAATTGAATTGAAATTAGATTACATTTTCCGCAGGGAAATTAACTTTGAAAAACGTCGATAACCCAATTAAAATTACATCGAAGAAATTACCTCTTCATTTCTGATTTATTAACTTAAATTTGACATTTATCAATATTTAGGAAAAAATGCGTAAGATGGCGATACTTTCGAGACACAAATTTTGACATAACAAACGTCAAATTGAAAATTATCTTTACCTGTCTAATGTAAGTTCTTCTAATTGATTCAGATCGCAAGCGATGTATTCTAGGGCTGCATCGGTTATTCTAGGACACCAAGACAGGTCTAAGGAACGTAATTTTTGTAGATTTTCGGCGATTAATTCGACACCGTCGTCGGTGATTTTACTACAACCTGATAAGCTCAAAACAGTTAAGTTCGGTAACGAGTGAACTGTAAAGAGAAAAAGTCGTTAATTCTAATTATGTTGTAAATTAAAACGGAACTTACCAATATTTACGATTCCATGGTTGGTTAATTCCCAACAAGAATGTAAACGTAAAACGCTCAACGTATTACTTTGTTTCGGTGAGAAATAACCTAAAGCTGCGTCAGTGACGTGATAAGCTTGCAAAGAAAATTCGTATAAACTTGGTAGGAGTTGTGCAACTGCTCCAACAGCTTCGTCAGCTACGTTTATACAGTCTGTAAGACTCAACGAGATGATTTTTTGATTTAAACATGCCCAAAGACCAGCTTCGGTTATTTCATTGCAGCCAGCTAATTCTAATTCATATAAAGCCTGAAATAAAAAAAATAAATTTACTTATATACGAATTTAATACAAACAGAATAAGACCTAATTAAATTAAATAAAGGAAAAATTTGAAGCCATATTAATTGAAATCGGTGAATTTAATTTACCTGGAGATGATCTAAAAGTGTTTCGAGTCCCCGATCTGTAACACTAGAACACCTCAAGCTTAACGAATAGATGTGTTTCGAAGCCATTGGAAACGAACTGACCAAATCTAAAGCGTCCTCATCTGAAGCTCCGCTTAAACATAAATTTCGAAAACCCCTACGCACTATTGACGAGTAAAACCGCACTTTTTCGTTACTTTGAGCCATCCTAAGTTCTCTACATTGTATCACCGGTACAACGCCGTTCCAAAACTTTGGATATTTATAAAGAATGTCTCTCCATCGCGTGCAAACTCGCGCCAACACGCACCGTTCACCACCGGTAAAATACAAGAAAAATTTTACCAAAAACTTATCATCCATTAAAAGTTGATCGAACGTCGTCAAATAGTTCTGCGGCAGTCTCGGTTTTGTTTTATAAACCTGATGGTGCTGGTGATGATGATGATGGACGAACTGATTGGGAACGGTCGATGATGGTAATTTCGTTTTCGGTAGGAGCCTCGAAGGTTTTTCCGGTGCGGTGACCATAGTTCCTGAATTGCTTCCGCCGCAAAAGACATTGGTGACGCGTTCCATGACGCTACTTTTCGAATGATGTTTATTACCCCTTAATCCGTTGATGCGTTTCGAGAGTTCGGCGGATGCCCTCTCAACGACTCCTTGCGCGGAAATCGAAGACATTGTGGGTGGCTTTATTTTAAAGCCGTCCGAGTATCGGTCACGAGGACATTTAGAGGGGTGTCGCGGCGTTCAGCCCCCGGTCGTGTTGCGTTCGAGATCGACGTCGGATCGCTACTGGAGCGTCGCGACGCCCCCCCGTCATCAGTCGATAAACGGGTTGGAAGCGATTTCGGAACGGATCAATACGTTGGAAACGTTTACTGTGGTGGTGGACAGGCGCAGTAATAATACACCCCCATTCAAAGTACTTGATTTATTTTAACCTAACTTTATAGTACTCAATGAGATTTTATAACAAATTTATTCATTTGAATCTTAGGAAAAATGACAATTCAATTTTCCAGAAAAACTTGAAGTAATAGATGTTTTCTTTCTATGACTTTCAAAAACACCGCGAATAACAAAACGAGAATATTGCAAAGGAAGTCGACAGAGTTTTCAATAAAACTATCTGGAACTCGAAGAACAAGTTATGATTTAGAAGACAATGGAAATTGTTACTCGATGTTCAAGTTTAATCAATGAGCATCTCTATGACTCTGACTTGCAGTTGTTGCTCCACCATATTTTTTTAGGTTGCAAAATGATTTTTCATTTTAAAAATTAACTTGCTTTTGTGTTCCACATCGACTCCTATTAATATGTCTTGTGGATTCAGAAAAATATTGCCAAATAATTTCACAATGTGTGTTGTTATTGAAAACATCTTTGGTGCTTTGATGAGACAGCTAACACTTGATGCCTATTTGATCTAAAGATTTTGACAAAATAATCTTTAAGTCTATGAATATGTGCAAATGATATTTTGCTAACCAATGTACTTCTGAAAACTCAGGATTTGAACTTGAAGTCTGTTTTGGCAATGTTGGACTTTAGCATGGCTTTTGATACTTGATCATGGTCTCCAATGTTCAGGTTTAAAATAGATCTTCTGCTACGATCAACACTTTACACGATTTTGGAACTGCATCTCTCAAGAAATGTCTTACGATTAGTTAAAGGTGTTCAGACCGCTCATACTTATAATGCTAAAATACTAAATACTTGGATGACGCTCACTTCATGGACTACCAAACAGTAATGCACATCTCGACTTTTAGAAAAACATTTTATTTTGTTTTAGGAAACAAATATTTTACAAAACTTACGCAAGGAAGGAGAAAAAAAAAGTTTGCACTCCTTGTGTCGCCCAAAATAAATCAGATGTAGTTAACTAGACAACAACTTTAATATTAATACAACAGATTAAACAACTTTATGCATTGCACAAGAGCTAAAACATGCCGTATTTGCAATACTTATTGGAATTTCTTTGGAAAAAGAAAAAATTGTCAATCAATAATTTCTCAAAATCAGCATCATAACTAGACCAAAATTTTTTTTTTGTTGTAACATAAAGCTGATGGTGTCAATTTTCCATGATCCTGATTTCTTGAGCATCCAAATTGTGATAAAAAAATGATAAACGGGAAATCCCTTGACTACACTTACAAATAAGTTTCAAGGCTACAATTTTTGCCTGGTAAGCTTTTCTATAAATTAACATTGTTAAGGTATATTCTAATTTGTGACCCAATAAAAATGCTTGTGTTAAGTACTTAAATTCTTCATACTCTTTATTTATAGCTTTCACAAAGTTTTTCATCAGACCAAGTTTAATATGAATAGAAGGCAAAGACATATCTTTTATGTTCTTAAGGGGCATATACTTAACATTTTCAGATCTCGGTTGAATTTTACTCCTCTGCACGATTGCCACAAAAACAAAGAAAACAGCAATATTTTATAAATCTTTCCTAAAATCTCCTAACTTTCAATTAAATAACTTAGGTTGGGATGTTTTGAGAGTTGCATTTTTTTGAAGTTGGGTTGATTTATGGGCGAGCAGCTTGTATGGTTTGCTTTGAGATGAGGTTGCTATGTGTTTAAGTTACTTTAGAATTGGGTTAATACTTTACTGACGTCTTCTTATGGTTCGCAGAGAGATATTGTTTTGGACACCATTTCTCAGTTATATGCGGTGCTATTTACATTCTGTCAAAGAAATTCTGGTGAACTTCGCTCTAATCAGGATTGTCTGATCGTTGGCATAACCAAATGGATTCCTAAACCAACCCAACCATACCACATGTTTAGTTTCAATTACAACGCAATAGTTTGAGTTGGTTTGAATTGAGTTGGCTTAACTTGTGCTGAATCAACCGAACCAGGTGTCAAATTTATTCAACAGTTAACATGCCTTGGACTTGGCCTTGGATGAATGGCAGTTGAGATGAGAGCAATATGAAGATTGGACAAGAGAATTGATTCCAAATATAGAAACGTGGATAATGAGGAACTGGGGAGAACCTGACTATTATTTGACGCAATTTCTGACAGGTCACGGCGTTTTCGGTACGTACTTGCTTAGAATAAGGAAAGCAGAGACATGCATGCTGGTACTGTGGGCAAAAGAATGATCCTCAACATACGTTTTTCGAGTGTGAAAAATTTAGAACACAGAGAACAACTAGTCAAAAAGAATGCAGGATAAGGCTTGACAAGAAGAACGTGGTACGTGTCATGTTACAGAATGATAATAATTGGAATGTTATCGTTAAGATGATAACGAATATCTTGCAACAAAAATAGATATACGAAAGAGAGAGAGAGAGAGAGGGAAGTCTCGTCACGTACAAAAGATGCAGGGCCATGAGGAGGAAGAGGAGGAATATGATGAGGGGATAGCAGCCCAGTCCATCGGAAACAAAAGGGAGAAGAAGGATGTAAGAAGAGAAGACGAGGTGGGAATCACCCATCTCGTTTCCGGTACGACGTAAGGTAATAAATTAGACTAAAAGTAATGGAAAGGTTTGGTTTTGTTTTCCATGATGAGCAAGAACGTCTGAGACGACTTACCACCCAACGAGTATGTAAGAAAGAGAAAAATAATAAGAAGCCACGACGTAAGAAGCCTCCCGCCCACGACGTAAGCCCCGTTCCAACCAGGGATGGAAGAAGAGGAGATGAGGTGGGAACCACAAAAGTAATGTAATGTTTGTTTGTTTCATGTTGAAAATGTCAAAGACGCCCTACGATCCATTTTGAAGACAGTAGGTAGAGGAAAACGAAGTCGAAAATTAAAATGAAGGAAATGAATGGAGGACGCTAACTCTGAAGAAATGCCTTTCTGGCGGTTTTGAAGAGAAGACGAGGAAAGGGGTTTTTAGTGGGTCCCAACACACTATCTGGCCGCTCAACACCCCTGGCCAGATGTCTGTTAGTAGATTTTCCACAATCTCGTTAAAAAAAAAAGAAAAAAAAGATTGGGTTGGGTCGAGTTGGCTTGGGCTAGGTTGGCTTGTTTTGGTTTTGTATTGGCTTGCTTTGAAGATGAGTTATTGGAATCGAGTTTAGCTGGTAAAGATCCTTTAGGTTGTCTTTGTTTACCATTGGTTTAGTTTTGGGTTGCTTTCTTTTTGTCTTGGTTTGTTTAGAATCTTTGTATATATTGTCAATTGCCCCTCTTCCCTTCCTAAATCTCGTCTGCCCATCCGGCAACAATTCCCCCCTCTCCATTTCCTCTTCCAACTTCCCCAGCAGTATTTTTACATAAATTTTGAAAGTTGTGTCCAACAGGGTGATCCCTCTATAATTGCTCACCACCCTTTTATTCCCCTTTTTATATAGTGGGCATATTATCTTCATCCTCCACCTGTCCGGAAACCTCTTCCCTATCCATACGTCGTTTATTACCTTCCATAGCTTCTTCTGCACTGTCTCCGTCGCCTCTAACCATGCCGCAAGCCTAGAATTTTTGTTAATCATTGTAAATCTATTTCTCTCGTTGGATTAATCAGCCACATAGTGTAGTCAGAGTTTTTACAGGAGTCTCGGACATGGACAGAAAAATTAAGCAACGAAAAGTGAGGAACAGACATAGTTTTAGAAGATGACAAAGAAAAAGGAGAATGATAAAGAAGAAGTTAACTTTTTAAATATCTGGCGTCATTCTAAGATACTTTTTGTATCCTAACACATTCTTTGAGTCTAAGACATTGAGAAAAAGTGATGGTGTTCCAAGTGAACCCCTTCTTTGGCCATTAACCTTCACAGTTCATCTTCCAATTTATCTCGTCTTGAACATCTCATTCAAAGAATTTTCAAACATTTTTTATTCTTTTAATAATTACTGCGAATTCTCTTCTCGTATGAGTCGTTCCAAGATTTTTTTTGGTAAAGTTGCGAGCAGGTCTACATTACTCAGTACTTTCCTGAAATACACGTTTTGTTTGTGTCCATTAACTTAATCAGCTTAATCCACAAAATTGGAATGCAGATATTTTTTGAATTAAATACATTTTCTAATTTTAAGATAAATTTTTCAAAGTTAAACAGTTGTAATTTTATTTTTTTTCCAAAGATTTTTTTATAAGTTTCTTTAACGTTCACTTTTTTCTTTCAAGTAACATTTTTTTTTGAACATGTTTTATATGGTTACTGATCTCTCTTTTCACGATAGGAGCGGTTGTAAAAATGCTTCCTTGTCTGAAAGAGTTAACAGTACAGGAAGCAAAACTGTCCGGTTGAGAAATATGCCACTTTCAAATACACTTTAAGCGGCTCTTCCAGAACTTGTAACACTCCTTTCAACAATAAATGCTCATTTTTTGATGCATTCTTACATTTCTATCTTATTACATCATTGAACAAAGTAACAATTTTTATTAGTATAAGAATTATATATAAACTTTTTAACCCTAAACATTTTAAAGATTGTTTTTATTCAACATACACAAACATGAATAAAACACAATGTTAATGAATACACATGTTATAAGATAAGTTAAAAATAAACAAGAACTTTCAATATCGTTAGTTTAGATCATCTCTTCATCTGAGAGTAGAGGTATTGAATTTCACCGATGTTCAATAAAATGTACTTAATTGTAGTTACTTCCCCACTTCCGTTGGATGTCTCTTCTCCCCGTATATATAAAGTTCCGGACATTCTTTCGAACTCGTTTCTTCGATAGTGGAGAAACGTGTGGTGAACTTGACATTGCGACATTGAGAGTTGAGCCGAGATGAAATTAATACCAGTAAGTTCTTCAATATTTC